GAGACACAGCAAGGAAAAAGAACATGAATCTACACTTGTCTTTGAATAGCCAGTGCACAGGGCTGCATCACCCCTTGGGCAGAGAGGGACAAGAGGCTACAGGTCTGGCCATTCAGACCGACTACTGAAAAATCTCAAGATCAAACTCAGAAAAATCTTATTAAGAGGAATAGCAATGGTTTTGGTCACAGTGATGCTTCCTGAGCCAAGTAAACAGAAATGAAACTTTTGTAAGGAAGTCCTTGAGTTTTTCAATTCGCTAGTGAAGGATTTCCCTTCATAAAGCTGTAGGCCTGAATACATAAGACTCAACTCCTGTGGTACCACATTCCCACCCCCCTTCCCCAAATCCATGTGAAGGTAAATTATATGCCTAGGGCAGAGTGGTAAAATCTGACTTAGTCTTCATTGTCTAGGCCTCTACCTATCTCAACCTGACCTTCCAAGGGTAAGCAAGCCCAGGCCTCCTATGTGCTTTTCTTTTTCTTTTGTTACAGAAGTAATTATTTATGGGACCAGCAGTTGGCGTGATGGCTATGTCCCTGGACTCCCATGTAGTTGACCGCTGTTCAAGTCCCAGACCTGGTGGCTTAAGCTCATACCGGGTGCGTGTGCGTGCATGCCCAAGATCCCAAGAGGAGAATGGAGGAGAAGGAATTGTGGCATGGCAATCCCCCTTGGGGGGGGGCAGTGATTTCTCACTTTCTGTCTCTCTGTCTCTCTCTTTCTGGCAAGCACACACACCCTATTGCAAAAACTTTTCAAAAAAAAAAGAGAATTATTTATTTATTTAATTCCATTTGTTGTTATTATTTTTTAATTTGACCAAAGAGAGAGAGAAAGGAAAAGTGAGACCACAGTCAGCCATATGGGAATCTAGCACCCTTAGCCACCATGCCACCTACTGACCCTCTACCATGTGCTTTTCTAGATCACCTGCTAAAGTAAGGAATGTTGGCACATCTATGGGATAGGATGGAAAAGGCTCTGGCTAGGAGGCAGGCCTGGCTTTGTATTTGGTCCCCACAAGAGATACTGATAGACTAAAAAGTTTCCACTGGTAGCCTTTAAATGTCCTCGTCCCCAGTAGATGTTCCTCCCCACCCCTTTTCATATGACCTTATCCCTAACTATTTCTTCCATGCTCCTGGTAGAATCCCACACAGTAGTTTCTCATCCGTAAAAACAACTCCTTCTATTTCCAAGAACCACCTTTGAACCAATTCCCTAAACTGTAATAGTTGAACCTCAGCTGACTTCACTCCCATATCCTCATAAAAAAATTCTGCCTGACTCAGATTCCTCTCCAAATGACAGTGCTGTCTCTGAAATTTCGTATGCCTGGCATTCTGGAATAAAGTCTATGTTAAAGGTGCTCTGGTTGATTTCCTTCCTCAAAAACGACTCAAGTCCTGACTTGGAGACTATCAACTGAGAAGGGTAAGAAGGTCCAGTGGAGGAAAACTCTAATCATCTCACAATTAACTTCTGGGTGGTGGCATGGGGTAATCCTTCCCATGGTTTTGCATAGCATGCCAATTTAGTTTGTTATTGCACTGCTAACAGAAGTACCTAAGACTAGGTGATTTATAAAAAAAAAAAAATAGGGGCTTAGTGACTCATACTTCTGGCAGCTGGAAGGTCTGAAGGCATAGGGCTGGTATCAGGCTGGCCTACAATGTGGTTGATGCATGCACAGAGAATGGCAGTTGCGTGCACGGGGAGAGCAAGCTGCTCTCTTTTATAAAAACCGGCTCTCGTGGTAACTAACCTTGTCATGAGAGCTAGAACTCACTCGGTGTCACAAGACATCATTAATCTATTCACATGAGTGTTACCACCATGATCTAACCACTGCCCCCTAGACCTCACCACCTTCTAATATCAAATTCCAAATCATGAAACCTTGGGGGACAATCCACCATCCAGGGTTGGCCAGCACGTGCTGTACCCTAGCCTGCCAGTGGGATGAAATCACTCACTCTGCACCGCCATGCTTCTTTCATTTAACCTCTGGCCTTCACCACTGCTTTAAGCTCACTAGTGAGGACAGTGGTCAAGCACAGTGACCCCTCTAGTGACCCCTCTTTTTCCTTCTGCAACAGTCAGATCCTTCTGCTTTCTTGCTCCAGTATCCTGAGAGGGAAAACGTAAGCCCTTTAATATTCACTGTATATCCTCACTGCAATTGGATTCAGGTCACTAAGCTCTTGATCTTTAATCCAGCCTAGAGCTAACTGTTTTTCCTAAAGAACGGGTCAGAACTGGGCCCACTGGACACACAGCCCAGTTAGCCCACTGGGCCGATCTCGTCCAGACCTCCAGTTCCTGTGGAACTTCTTTGTCATCTTCATCACTCATGGTTCCTTTTGCTACTGTTTCTCCATATTAACTCCCCTCTCCCAATTTCCAGGGCCTGGGAAGTCCATGAGGCGCAGACTCTGCCTTCTTGAGGAAGCAGAGTCCACTCAACCAAATTCCACCTGCTTTACTAGGATTCATCAGTCAGATATAAACACGCTGTTTCCTCTTTTTCTTCTCTCGTGTTTTCTTTTTCCCTCTAGCTTTTTCTCTTTATTTATTTTTTTTCTGCCATGCTTTTTCCAGCCCCACCTAATAGCCATTTGCTGGAACATCACCCTCAAACTTTATAATCTTTTTCAAATTAATTGCATTGTTTCCTGCATGACTGATGGGGCAGCCTCTAATCATTCTCTCTTCAGATAAAATGCTGGCTGATTTTGTGCCAAGACGAAAGCTTTTCGCAATGTGACCTCAGCCAACCTTTCTTGTTTCAACAATTACTATCTCCAACGTTTTTCCCTTGGAAGAACATCTGATTGTCATCAAACTCCCCACGAAATGTAATGCCATCATTATTTTTCCTTGAGTAGGTCCTTGAGCCTAGAATGCTATCTGGCTGCATCATAGCCTGGTGGAGAGCAGGAGCGCTTGCGTCTGTGTCCCTGTGTGGCTGTTCTGGTTTCATTTCTTCTTATAAACCCACTAGGAGTCAATCACGAGGGCCCCACCTTAATGACCTTACTAATAATCTCCTCCCAAAGGTTCTACCCTTCAACACCAAAGTCAGATTAAGTTTTCACTCTCTTAATCCCATCACAACCAAATCTCAATGCATGCATTTTGGGGGACTTTGAAATCATAGCACTGGGTGATATACTGATACTCTCTAAATCTATGGCTACGTCTAATAGCTTCAAATCCTTTTTCCATCTGCCTATTGGACATTTGCACTTGAATGTAAAACAGATATTTTAAGCATGGCCTGTTCCTATTTGTCTTTCTACTCAAACTTAAACCTCCTTCAGAACTAGTTCTCTCAGCCAACAGCACCATCTTTTACCTACTTATCAATGCAGAAATGTGGGAGTTATTCTAGACTCCATCTCACTTTTTCCTATGTTTACTCAGTCAATTAGTCACCAAGATTTATTAATTTTACTACCTAAATATACAGGTTGAATATCTCTTATCCAAAATGCTTGGAATGAGAAGTGTTTAAGATATCAATTCTTTTTTAAGGATTTGGGAATATTTGCATATACATATACTGAGATCTCTTAGAGATGGGACCCAAATCTAAGCACAAAATCCGTTTATGTTTCATATATAACTTATAACCTGAAGGTAACTTTAGACAATATTTTTGTATTGCAGTGTTTTGACTATGATATACCACGTGAGGTTAGGTGTAGAATTTTCCACTGATGGTGTCATGTCTGTGCACGAAATGTTTCCATTTTGGAGCATTTAAGATTTTGATTATAGATGCTTAACTTCATATATCAACTATGTCACTTTCTTTTTTTTTTAGAAGTATTTAATTTTATTTATTATCATTTTGATTTGTTATAGGCATGAGCGCTCACTAGAGACAGACACACAAAAAGAAAGAGAGAGAGAAAGTGAGAAAGCAAGCTGCCAGGTCTAGGATTTGAACTGTGGTCAGTCATGTGAGAGTCCAATGTCTTAACCACCATGCCACTTGCCGGCCTCATGTCACTTTTTTTTTTTAATCTTATTACTACTTCCTTACTCTTCCTTACTTAGAACTTCTTCATTTCCTACTTTCTGTTTATTTAATAAATAAATATTTTGTAACGCCTATTCCAGGTACTGTACTGTTCCAGGTACTGGACTATGCATTAGGGATATAATAAGACACAATAGACACTTTCCTTGACCTCACAGAGAATGTTAGTCTAGTAGGGGAGACAATATGTGAATACCTAATTACGAGACATAATTTTTCTAACTACACAGTGATAGAAGTAGTACTCAATACCAGGACAGCATAGACATGGAGCACCTGGGCTCAGTCAATCAGGGAAAGGAGTTGACATCTTACCTAAGACTTGAAGAATGGATAGAAATTAAACTTTTGACATGAACGTGAGGAGGAGAGATGGGAAATACTCTAGAAGGAAGCAATAGCCTGTTCAAAGATTCGTAAGTGAGAAAAAGCTTAGTGGACTCAAGGACCTGGTAAACTTTCTATGAACTTTCTATGACTGAGTGATGAGGGTGGGAGAGTACGATGTCAAGCTTCCCAGATTCTAAGATCAATTTGCATGAAGACATCTTGAGGAGTACTTTTCGGAACAACACTTGGGAGTGAAGGAGGCACGATTGAGCAGAGAGAGAGGTTAAACTGCAACACAATTGCAACATAGGCCTTAAGTGATCCATGGGAGCTCCTGAGCTGGGAGCCCACCAGATGTGTTCCAAATTGAGGCAAGGGGACCAGGCCATGGCTGTCGTGCATCAAGCAGTCATTGGATAAGATGTCCTGCCAAGGAGGAAGAATATATAACGGTGAGTGAGGCAGCTTCCCCTAGCTGAGGACAATGTCTGGAAAGGGCCTCCTCAGTTGTGAACTGTCCATGGT